GTTCTACAAGCCCACACCCGGAAAACTGAAGCAAGCGACCTGTGGAGGTGAGGCCGCTGATAACTAAAGTTTCGAAGATCCTCCTTCACGGTTTGAAGGTGACGATGCTATGTTTACAGAGGATAAGCGCAGCAGTGCGAAGATTACTTCAGATTTCCGGTTGAAAATAGACGGATACGAGCTAAATGCTTTAGTTGACACCGGCGCTGATTAATCGGTAATGAGTCACAAATTGGCAAAGAAACTGAAAAAGTTTGTGACGAAATGGAGCGGGGCACAGATACGCACGGCAGGTGGCCACACTATTACACCACTTGGCAGATGCACCTCAAGGCTCGAAATAAGAGGCTTTACTTACGTTTCTGACTTCATCGTACTGCCGGACTGTTCAAGGGAGCTTATACTAGGGATGGATTTTCGGCAAGCCAATGGAGCCATAATTAATCTGCGCAGATCCAGCGTAACGTTTTCGACCGAACAAGCTATGTCGGTGGAAGATTCGGAAAAGCGACGTCTTACTGCTCTGCGCGTTTTTGATGATGACGTCACAGTGCCACCACGCTGTAGTGTAATGGTGCTTGTTGAAAATAAGGCATTTTGTGACTACGAAGGAATAGCGGATGGAAACGTAGGGCTCTTTTTAAAGAAAGAAATTTGCGTGGCGAGGGGTGTTGTTCACTTAAAGAATGGCCGATCAGTTGTCCTCCTTACGAATTTCGGGAATCAATGTCAGCACATCACGCCTGGTATGGCTATCGCCTATTTCCACGAGTTCTGCATGGCGACTGAACTATGCAGTTTAGCGACAACGCCAATTACTCCACAAGAGACCTGCAACGTCGATGCATCAGTTAACGTCAATCATTGGCTCCCAGAATATCAAAAGAAAGGATTGTTCGCCCTTATAAAAGAATTTTCGGACTGCTTTTCAACGTCCTCTAAGGTGCGACACACGGCTGTTGCAAAACACAGGATTATAGCAGAAGAAGCCACGAGACCGATTTACCGACACCTATATCAAGTATTGCAAAAGGAAAGAGACGTCATAAAGAAACAAGTGGAGGAGATGCTTTCAGATGACGTGATCCAGCCTTCCAGTAGTCCATGGGCGTCTCCCGTAATGGTTGTTAAAAAGAAAGATAACAGCCTTCGATTCTGCGTCGACTATCGGAAAATGAACAGCGTAACGAAACGGGATGTATACCCTCTGCCGCGTATCGATGATACACTCGATCGACTACGGAGTGCGAAATACTTCTCCTCCCTTGATCTCAAGAGCGGATATTGGCAAATTGAGGTGGATGAGCGCGACCGTGAGAAGACGGCACTCATAACCCCAGACGGCCTCTACGAATTTAAAGCACTTCCATTCGGCCTGTGCACAGCGCCAGCGACGTTTCAGAGAATGATAAACGCTGTCCTCGCGGGACTGAAATGGCAGTCCTGCTTGGTGTATTTGGATGATGTTGTCGTATTTTCCGCTACATTCGACCAACATCTAGAGCTACTCCACACAGTATTAGAAACCATTCGTTCAGCAGACTTGACCATCAAGCCAGAAAATGCCACTTCGGTTTTGAAGAGCTTGGATTCCTCGGACACGTCGTCACCTCCGAAAGAGATCGGTTAGATCCCGAAAAGACAGCTGCCATTGCGAAGTTCCCGACATCCAAAGACAAGAAGTCGGTACGTCGCTTCCTGGGTTTATGCGCGTACTATCGGCGATTTGTGGAAATTTTTTCGGACATTGCTGAACCACTTACTAATGTAACAAAAGACGAGGTGCCCTTTATGTGGGAAAGTGAACAACAGGAAGCTTTTGATGAGTTAAGAACACGCCTGCAAGCCTCTCCAATCCTCGCCCACTTCGATGAGACTGCCGAAACGGATGTTCACACTGATGCGAGTAACGTCGGCCTCGGAGCCATTCTAGTCCAGCGGCAGAACGGCCAAGAAAAAGTGCTAGCGTATGCCAGCCGCAAGCTTTCGAAAGCTGAGACAAATTACTCTGCAGCCAAAAAAAGAGTGTCTCGCGGTCATCTGGGCCATAAGTAAATTTCGGCCGTACCTCTACGGTAGACCATTCCGAGCATTCAGTGACTACCATTGCCTGTGTTGGCTGGCAAATCTTAAGGATCCCTCTGGCCGACTAGCAAGATGGAGCCTTAGGCTACAAGCGTACGGTGTTGCTGTGGTATACAAATGTGGGAAAAAGCACAGCGATGCCGACTGCCTGTCACGCGCACCAGTGGAGACGATTGAGCCGGAGGAAGAAGACTTCCCGTTTCTAGGCGCCGTCCAGGCATCAGAAATCGCTCAACAACAACAAAATGACCCCAATTTGCTGCCGCTTATACAGCGTATTTAAAGACTCAACGTTAAAGTCCCGCGCAGTTTATCCAAAAGGCTCCCTTCGTTCTGTCTCCGAGAAGGGGTCATTTACAAGAGGAACTTCAAGCCTCATGGTGACAAGTTTTTACTCGTTGCACCTGCACCTTTACGAAACGAGATTCTGCACGCATGTCATGATGAGCCAACATCTGGACACATGGGTGTCAGCCGTACATTCACCAGAATTCATCTAAAATATATACTGACCAAAACTGTTATCATCAGTTCAGCGCTATGTGAAAACTTGCCGTGAGTGTCAAAGACGCGAAACTCCATCCGTGAAACCTGCAGGCCTCCTCCAGCCAATAGAACCGCCACATGCCCCTTCCAACAGTCGGTATGGATCTCCTAAGCCCGTTTCCGACATCGACTGCACGCAAGAAGTGGATAGTCGTAGCCACGGACTATCTCACTCGTTACGCTGAGACTGACTCGCTGTACAGTGCAACAGCTCTTGAAGTTGCCAAGTTCTTCATCAACAACATAGTCCTCAGACATGGTGCACCCAGCGTCGTAATTACAGATCGTGGCCCAGCTTTTACTGCAGACCTAATGAAATGTCTGGTGCGAATGACCCATACAGACCAGAGAAGAACTACAGCATACCATCCTCAAACAAATGGCCTAACGGAGCGCCTGAACAGAACTCTGACTGATATGCTTTCAATGTATGTCGACGTCGAACATAAACTGTGGGATGAAATATTGCCCTACATCACGTTCGCATATAATACAGCCGTTCAAGAAACAACGCGAGTGACACCATTGGAACTTGTATTCGGCCGAACAGTCACCACTCCACTGGATGCCATGTTACCACTGAATGATGAAAGCAGAAATCCACCTGGCCTAGACGACTTCCTGCAAAGAGCCGAGGAAGCACGACAGATGGCACGATACAGAATACGCCGCCAACAGCGTATCGACTCCTATCGGTACAATCAGCGTCGTACCGAAGCGCATTTTGAACCAGGTGACAAAGTATGGATATGGACCCCAGTGCGTCGCCGTGGACTTTCTGAAAAACTTCTTAGCCGCTACTTCGGGCCTTACGAAGTACTCCATCGTGTAAGTGATGTAACGTACCAAGTCAGATCCGCTATACATGGGAGCTCAAAACGCCGCAACCCTAGAGAGGTTGTTGATGTAGTCCGGATGAAGCCTTACTATGAAAGATCATCCGAAAACCAGTGACGCCTACCACGAATCTATTCATTGCCTGACGCATCGGGACGGTGCGTATGAGGCGGGGGATTATGCCGCGACATATTGCCTGCATTAAAACAACGCGCCCAACAACGCGCGCACAGGGACATACATGCGCGCCGTCTAGTGTTGCGCAGAGACGATGATGATAGCCCGAGAGCCCAGCTGGCCCCGGCTGATGTGCGCCACGCGCTCGGGACTGCTCTGGAAGTTGAAGAAGACAGAGATTTTTGGTGTTCTGCTGTAACGCACTACGACCATAGCCCCTTTGAGTTGTGGGCACAGGTTCGCCCTTTAATAAATACGTTTTATTACACCCCGAGTCCTTCAACATCGTTACAAGATATCTTTAGCCAGGTCTCCGATGACCCGCGGAAAGTTGGTGGTTCTCTGGGTTGCTGCATTAGTATCGCGGGCTATGACGCAGGGTTGTCATTGTCGCCGCAGTCGAGGTCATGGCCTTGGTCTTCCACGCCTTGTCTTGTAGAGGCCCGTATTCTGGTGGTAGACCTTGCTGCCGGCGATTTCTTCGTTGCTCCTGGTTGGCGTCGGTATTTGCTCCACGACCTGGGCTGGGTTCACGGCTTGACGAGGGCGTCCGGTACATGAACGAAGCAGCACCTCCACCGGATGTCACGGGGTCGTGTCGTGGCTGAAGGCAGGAGACTTGATGGTTGGATAATAAACTGTTTATTCGGGCCTAACTTGTGGTTACGTAAAAGGAAAGTTGGAATATAGAAAGACACTGGCACTGATAGCGGCGAGCAGAGCGTCGGCCGTCAATCAACTGGCAAGCGGCGAAGCGCGTCGGCATTTATACACTTGCCATGGAATGTTCTAGCGTTATCACTAGCGGCGCTGTAGGTTCCCGAATAATTTGTAATATTCACGAAGTGGGCGTAATCTTAACAATACGATCTACAGCCTCGAAGCTTTTCGAACATCGTAGGCGTGGTTTGCGCTAAACGTAGTGTAACGGGGTGATAACAAACTTGAGGAAAGGAACGTGGCAATATTCTCTCCTTGGGAACCTCCCCATTAGGTCATTGTCACCGGGATATATGTTCTGCTGTACAAAGGTTCTTAATTGAATAAAGGCGGTTTTGAGTGAAAATCTCTCAATTAGTAAAATTTTTTTCTTCTAACCTTTTTAAAATTCATTATATCTAAAAGTAGTATGTGATCCACTATCTAAATAATTGTTTCTTGGCCAATCCCCTAAAGTGGGTGCGAGCCATTCGTTTACGCTATCATCATCAGCGGGAGCTGATGAGACTGCAACATAGAGTAACATAGTTACTTCATGGCTGCAACAAGACAGCGAAATGAACATCGGCGGTGAATTCGCAATGACTACTACTAACCGAATAAACGGACTTCACGGCAGAGAGCACAATGTCAGTATGGGCACCTGGTGGGACAAACTGTGCGCAAGCGACATGTTTAAATACATGCCAGAAGATGAGACTGCGGACTTAAGACAAAGGGGAGCTGAATATAAGTCCTGTCTCACGAGCGATGCAGTGAGCTACATCGCACCGACACCAATGAGCCTGCATCGTTTACGTCCACTCAGTATATACCAGGACGAATCATCGAAGTGGTCCGCAGCTGATGTGAAAGCTTACAGGATAGCAAATGAAATAACAGTTACCGGACGTGCCGTACCCAAGCCAATCTCACGACTTGCCGAGGTTGACATTCCGGATCACGTGACTGAAGGAGCTGAGGCACTAGACTACTGTCCACTCACAGCCGTGCAGTCTCAGTGCTGGCCCATCGCTCTCGCAGGAAGAGACCTTCTCGCCGTCATATACGGTCAATCGGGAGAAAACTCCCGTTCTTACCTGATTCCAGCCATCGTCCACGTCATCTCACAACCAACTCCTCAGCCTGTCAATGGTCCCTGCGTGCTCGTTTTAGTCCCGACTCGTCAATCATCTGTGCAAGTCCACCGACAGGTGACGGATTTTGAGAAATACGCCACTGTCCACAGCCTGTGCCTCTGCTCTGGAGACTGGAAGGAACGACAGTTGAAGAGGCTCAGCAAGGCGAGTTTCCAGATATGGATCGCTACTCCCAGCCGGCTTCTATCTTTCATCGAAAACGGCAAGGTAAGCCTCACTAGCACCTGTACGTTCCTGGTGCTGGACGAAGTAGATACAATGCTAGCCGTGGGTTTCGAGAAGAAGCTTCGCACCATCGCTTCACTTGTGGGACCGACGCGCCAGACGCTGATGTTCACTGCGTCTAGACCAACAGCGCTTATTCATATCGCGGAAGACTTGCTAGAAGACTACGTTCAAGTCGGTTTTGGGCAGAGCAAGATAGTTGAGAATGTCGAGCATTTCGTGGTCTTCTGCGAGAAGACTGAAAAAATGAAGCGGCTCGTTGCCCTCCTTGACGACGTTGTGAATGAGAAAGACGACAAGGTGATCGTTTTTGCTGGAAATAAACGGTCAGTGGAAGAAATTGTGTCAGAACTGCGTCTCCGGGGCCGGTTAGCCATGAGCATTCATGGCACGAAGTCGCGATTAGAACGAGAGTGGGCCTTGGATGGACTTAGGTCGGGAGTGGCGAGTGTTCTCGTTATGACGGATGTTATGACGCAGCGTGTGGTTGACGTCGGTGCCGTGCACTGCATCGTCAACTACGAAAACCCGGCCAGCGGAGATGTCTACGCGTCCAGAGTGAGCTACGCGTCTCGCTGCCAAAGTTCGGGGAGCGTGTACACGTTTCTGGCACCAGATGACACTCGCAACGCCAGGGAGCTCATCTCTTACCTGGTGGATGCCGGGAAAGAAGTTCACCCTCGTCTTCGTGCTATTGCCAAAGGCACACCGTTTTATTGAAGATCTAGAATTGGACGCTATGCCATGTGAATGACTGTTTTTGATGAGGCAGCTGGCATCAACTTGTGTCAACGGGCTTCTGGAAAATTTTGAGTCCCATGATTCAGTCTTTTCTATGTTCTTAGTAGGGGTGATTCGATTTCTTCAACGCCTATTAAAATTTTCTGTATTGATCCTTTTAATTGGTTATTCAAAACAGGGAGAGTTAACCGACGAATAGTTTGTTGTGCTAAGGTGTCTCGTACATTTTATGGCTGCTTGCTTAGCAAGGCGCATTCATAAAAGGTGCATATTTCAACACTCCAAGTCATTTAAGAAAAATGTAGGACTCCTGCATTGCCTTTAAGACAGTATTTAGGAACTGTTTAATGAGCAACTGCCTTTAGGTTTATTCGAATGTTCTATTTAGATCCATTTCATTCCTCAGATATCGATATCCTTCCTCAGATCGTGGCGTTCATACAAGTATTTCGACAAGGTTTTTTTGTTCTTTTCCTTCCCACTGACTTTAGGTTATGGTTGCTTATTGCCTTATCTGTATGTTAATGTGTGTCGTACAGGTTTATAGTTTTCTTATTGCCGGGTGGTATTTAATATTATTGTTCAAGCAAAATCTATTGTCTTTTTTTATCACGCTGCAATGCTTTCATGGGCACTGTTTCAGTATATTGCATATTAACTCTCGTATACCACATTATGCAGTCCTATTTACCAATTTGGTGTGCTAACTGTTGTTCACCTCCACACATTGCACACACTCAATGCAATGCCCGAGTTAGAGATGAATTATTCCTAAGATTTATTCCTTATGTAATAAGATTTGGTAGTTATTTGTGATTTGAAGTGCCCTCCCACCAGCCAGTATGAATTTGCCTCTCAAGCAACTCTCTTTACTAATCATTGTGTGTACTATTGTGTCTGCACATGTATAAATATAATTGAATGAATCAATGCTATAGAAAAAAATGACCGCAGTTTCCCGAGTGGGAACACTGGTTAGCATGCGGAGCATATATGTTGAACTGCGATAAATGTGGTTTGTAATTTGTGACATGCGTGCGTGTTATGAGTGAACACGAGTGAACACGAGTGAACACGCACGCACGTATGCTGCGAAAGACGATGTTTATTGATGAGACGCTTTGGTTATTTTGAGCAAGATGGCTTTATGGTCCGTAAAGTGAAGGGCGAGTGGGTCTGGTTGCAGCGGTCGAAGGTCGAAATTTGCAAAGACGTAGTCGATGCACGTCCCGCAAACCGTGGTCGGATGATGTTTGTCGTCGTGCGTTGCTCGTTTCAGCGAGTGCCGCGACTCCATGTAGTCGACCACCCAATCGTCCTTGATGACGTCGACGTTGAAGTCGCCAACTATCACGAAGGGTCCTCGTTGCGGTCGTTGTTTCATGTATTCTTCCACGGCTTCGTCGACGTACTTCTCCACGGCGGAACGCGACAGGACGGCGGGCCTTGACACTCGGTTATTTATAGCGAGCACCGGCCCCGGCCTGCGCATGCGCGCGTTAGCGTACAGCTGGCGCACGTAAAACTAAATGTCAGGCGGCGCTCGGAGGGGAGAAGCAAGCGCAGTGCCCACTGTGTTGAGAGGAGGAAGGGATGCACAGATGGCTGGCGGAGGAGGAGGGGAGGCAGTGGACGGCGACGGTGCATGACTAGCCCCTAAAATAACATGCTCCGCATGTAAAATGTAGTTTTACCTGGCTATGGTGTTTAATAAGTACTCCCAAAGGAAGGTCTACCAGTTTCATTCTGAATCTTCTCTTGGCTGGAACCAAAAGTTCTTGCTGTACTGTCAGCGTCAAATGAAACCCGAACAGCGGCAAGCCTTCGCGATGCTAAGTGCGCGTCGTCCACTTATCACTAGAAATATGAACGCATACATACGGAAAGATGCCAAACAGGATGCGCGCGCCTGTCAATCGTGATAACTGGACGGCACACACTACACTATCGCAAAGGCTTGCCACCGTTCGGGATTGATTTGAAGCTGATAGTACAGCCCATTGATTGTGCATTATCTTTTTTCTGCCAGTTCCTCACTTTAACGCGGTTCCAATTATGACTGCCAGCCCTGGAATCTATTTTTCGCTGTTTTGCTAAATTAAGTTTTGAAGTTAGCGCTATTTATATATCCTAACACTTCTCAATTGATTATCGCTACCGATTGTCACGTTTCCCATGCACTAGAGCGAATTGGTGGTGATGGCGATAATCCGGAAACCTTGAACAGCCAAAGCGTTATCGTCGCGAGCATAATCACTGTAGTGCGATTTTTTTTGTGCGCAAGCTCCATCGCGAGATTAAATTTACCATCAGTGTACTGAGCTAAATGGGGTGGAATAGAAATATGTCTGAGCCGACGTACTGTGAAGTTGTTGATTTTCTCTAACGAAGAAAAATATCTGACTTGGCCAGCGGCCCTCTGCGTGACCCCGATAAGCTCCTCATGATCAAATGAAGTTCTCCGTCCGTCCATCTGTCTGTCTGTCTGTCTGTCTGTCTGTCTGTCTGTCCCATTCATATCAAGCAGCTACAATGCTCTCTGAAGTATGCTTCTAGTTCTATTTATTCGCTACGCCTCAAAGCGCGTGAGTGCGTATGTCAAAGGGAACCTAGAAAGAAACAATTACGTAATTTCACTTTGAAATTTTGAGCCAAAATCTAAGCATGTGACATAACGAATTTTGAAACGTATTTTTCGTATTTTCGCGACATGAAACATCTAATGCTAGGTCTATGGTATCCACAGATGACAATGTGTTTCATCTTTATATATTAGAAGCTACACAGCACCCAGTAGACGTCTTCAAAATTTTCAGCGTCATCGTGTTTGGTGCGGGAATCTCAGATTATTGTAGATTAGTTCTTTTATGGTCGTTTGCTGTGAATCTGTGTGACAGAGTAAGTCAACCCGATTCTTTTCCGTGTTTATCCGCCCACTTATTAGTTAAAAACATGCTTGCACTGAGACTGCAAATACTGAGCAGTCGACAACTGTGTTTGTTTTGTCTCACTGATTCTTTGCTATTCCGTCAGTTTTTCGTGTACTTTCTGACCTCCTTAAAAATACCTACTCAGCGGGTATTGACCCAAAATGACCGGCCGAGAACAATTGGGCAGTACAAGAAATGATGCTACAAAAGCCGACGCACAAATCTCAAGCCTGGCGGTGCACCTTCCTATAGGGGATACGAGGTGTCCTCCAGCGGTGATTAGTTGAGGGCCGTCCCACGTTGTCAGCACCTTGTGTAGACGGGTAGCCAATGAAGCACTCATCACGGAGTAATCAGCTCCCGTGTCGACAAGCGCAGTCACGGGATAACAGTAGACGGAAACGGTAATGGCAGCGGACGTTCTGTTGGCGGTTTCAGAAACAGGCTTTAACGGCACGGCGTCAGGCAGCGGCGGAGGGTATTTGTCGGTTCGCGTGACAGCGGCCTCACCTCCAGAGGTCGCCGTTTTCAGTTTCCCCGGCGTGGGCTTGCGCCACTGACACCAGGGGACCCAAAGGCGGGTCGGGCGTGGTGCGTTGATGAGGACGGACGGGGTGATGGTGACCGTGACTGTCGTCGCGGCGGGACAGGAGAATTATGATTACCTTCCAAGTAATCCGCAATTTCTTGTGGGCGCTCACCATAGCGTGGACAACGTGCATGTGGGTGGAATCCTCGTAGGCCTATTCTTCGGTAGTAACAGTCGCGGTACATGTGTCCAACTTCGCCACAATGGTAGCACAAAGGACGATTGTCGGGTGCACGCCAGACGATGGACTTCCACGGGCCAGGACGAAAATCGGCCTGAGAAGGCAGGCGATGGGCTGGACTTGGAAAGCATCTAGGGGTCCTAGTAGGTGGATGAGCAAAATGTGCCGTCGACGGCGTAGAGACGCATAGGGCATCCGCGTAGGAAAGCGTGGGAGGTTCGACTTGCGATGGTGGTGAGGAGGTAACGAACTGCCTAATTTCGTTACGAAAGACGTCCGTAAGAGCAGCGCTACAGGGAGGGGACGCTGCAAGAAATTTCTGAAGTTCTTCACGTACAACTTGCCGTATGAGTTCTGTGAGGATCTCTCTGTTATCACCTCCTGGTACAAGCGAGCACGCAGTAGACATGGCCGTCTGACGCTCATACTGCGACACCCGCTACCGAAGCATGCGCTCCATAATTGTGGCCTCAGGTATGAACTCGGACACAGTCGTAGGAGGGTTTCGCACAAGGCCCGCCAAAAGTTGCTCCTTTACGCCTCGCATTAGCAGGCGCACTTTTTTGTCTTCTGGCATGTGGGGGTCAGCCCGTCGAAACAATCGCGACATTTCTTCGACAAACATGGCGACGCTCTCGTTCGGCATTTGAAATCGCGAAGAAATTGCCTGCTCCGCTCTCTCTTTCCGTTCGGGGTTACTGAACGCCTCGCGAAGCTGCCGATGGAATTCCTGCCAACTTGTGAATGAAGTTTCGTGGTTTTCATACCACACTCTTGCCACGTCTAAGAGGGAGATATACACGTTCTTCAACTTACGGTGATTGTCCCAGTCGTTGATTGCAGCGACCCGGTCGAAATGGTCAAGCCAGTCTTCGACATCCTCACCGGCATCACCATGGAATGGGTTGGGTGTGCGAGGCGTGTTGATGACACAGGGTACGCTAGCGAGTGTGTCATGCTCGGTTTGGGTTGCGGATGTGGCAAACATTGTCCTCGCGGAACTTGCCAAGGGGCCGTACTGTGGTGGTAGTCCTTGAAGGCGGCGGCTGCTTCGATAGATATCAGAAGACCCTGGTGCACTGGCAGTGGTTGCTTCTGGTTCAAGACCAGCAGGCATAAGACGTTGCAATACAGTACCCAGCATGTCCACCAGTCTGTCGCGAGAGGAAACAATAGGCAGGAACTCGAAGTGGAGGACTGTTTACTCAGCCACAGCTGCCCTTCACTTCTTCGTTCTGGTCTTCTGCCACCAACACAGCGAGGCATTTGTAGCATCATT